GTACAGATAAACTAGTAGACTAAAAATGTAGTCAACAACACATATGTGGACTATTTATTTATTATGAAGACTGACTGCACCTTGTAAGGTCAAAATGCACGGTCTATCACATTTCCTGCACAAGCACCATTCGCGTGAATCTACCCCGCCGCTAGAGAAAGATGATAGCACAGAGAGCTGGCACTCTACAAACAGTTCGATTGATTCCCGTCATGGTACCTCTCACGATGCGCAATCTAGATCTATTCCGATCAACCAACGTGGCTCTTACGCCCAAAGAAGTTTGCGAGGAACTTCGGGAAGTCCTTACGAATTTGCATCTAGTCCCCGTGACCGCTACCCAAATTTTGCGAGCTACTTTCGTGACGTCATGGACAGGGGCTCAACGTCATCGCACCAACCATATCACACACACTACCACGACAGCAGGCGGCGAAGCGAGGGTGAGCGATACCAGATCGGCGTCAATACATATCAGGCCCCACGCCATGACCACAGACATTTCGTATCTCCACTATACAATGATGCCATGGATGACATTCAAGAGAATGAGTATAGTAAATGCGAGCGATACGGAGAGATAAGTAACACAAAACTGAGTCACAAGAGTAAATTTGATAACAAAAGTTTTGCACAAAAACTAACTGAGAGTGTTAGCGGTACCAAAGATTCCCACCACCATTCCCATGAGAGACGAGGTTCGGGGTCAAGTAGTAGTGGCCATAAACATAAGCACCACTCAATTCAAGAACTGATCCGTACTTTTAGTAAAAAAGTTAATCATTGGCGACATGATTCTGGTGGTGAAAGCCGACGCGGATCCTGTGCTGTTCCGTCTACCAGCAGTGAAGATTCTCACAAAACTGACTCGGATGAATTTCGTTCTAGATCCAAGTCTTTGGATGCAGAGCATCTCCATAGAATCTACAAAAGACCGATACTTGAAGATGTCGGTACAACTTATCAAATTTTCGATGAAATTTTACGAGAAGGTAAATTTTACTAATTATTATATTTAGATCTGTATTAAATTTACAAAAGTGGTTTAAATAAACTCATCTTATGAATCGACTAAGTAACTATGCGATAAGAATAAAGTCTAATTTTTATCGTCCTTTTCCTGGAAAAAGTTGGCAATAACACAAACATGTACACGGTTATGTGTTGTTAATAATGTTGCCAATACATATTAAAATTCTCGTGAGTTCGTTCTTGGTGAACTGATGGCGCACGAAAGCAAATAGCATCCGCCATCTCATTTCCTCCATTGAGCTTTGTGTTTGTTTGATCACGACCGTCAATAGCTCAGTCAACACTTATCGTTTACGTGTTTATTCTCGTTTTATTTAACAATACACTTAATAATCTGTATTAAGTCTGAAGTCCAAGACCTCTAAAATTGCAATATGTAGTAAGTTCAATTAATTGATTATGTCATTTAAGCAGCTGTATTGTTGGCGTGGGTATATCTGTACGAAGTTTATTTAGGAACCAGAGCACGACATGTATTTGTGGCCGATCTTGAGGCGCGTTGCATCTACATGAGATTTAAATGCAGCTTTAATAGACTGTGTGTGTTGTTTTTGGTGTACTTACAAGCTTTTGAGGTTTTTAAACAGCGGTAGGTACCACGAAGCTGGGGCTCGTTATGAGCGGGAAAAAATTTCAATGACCCGCGAATTTGGGGCAAACATATCTTTACATTCCCCACAGTCACGAACTGTTCTATTAATTACGCGAACAGTTGCGTTGCAGTGTTCACGGCTACTAATACTAGAAGCATTAAATTTTTCAATCATTTTTATGTGCCACTCTACTTGAAAGTGCGCCAATCCAAGTTCATAAACTAATTACTTACTTTTAATTAAGAAACTTTTCCTTATTACAACTAATTGATTGGTTTGTGAACTTTATATTTTGTTAGTCGTGGCGCAATAAATCATACGCTTTTTATCTAATCTCTTTCATATAGCCCATTTAATAAGATTAAGATAAATTGCTCTCTTACACCATTACCACCGAACAGATGGCCAGAAATGTATCACCTGTTATCTACTAACTTATTAATATTGCACGCGTGATTGCATAAATCCATAACATATTCAACAGTGAATTTATAATGTTGACTCTCTAACAAAAGGTTTAGTGTTTTCAACAATTTGATTTACGTCAAAATGTAAGTATAGTTCCAAAATACTGGACTGTCCTGTCGATGACATTGACAGTGGGGCGCCACCGTCAATACCGGATCGCTAGTTCAGATTTTAGCCATGTTGGAAACCATATAGTTGAACGATGGTAGCGCCCCCCTGTCATTGAGTTTGGTGGGACAGTTCAGCGTGGGTCATCTATATTCGAAAATATTCTTTGCCCCAAAAAAAAAAACTGACTGACACCGACGAAACTTCGAGCAGTATAGTTCCAAAATACTGGACTGTCCTGTCGATGACATTGACAGTGGGGCGCCACCGTCAATACCGGATCGCTGGTTCAGATTTTTGCCATGTTGGAAACCATATAGTTTAACGATGGTAGCGCCCCCCTGTCATTGAGTTTGGCGGGACAGTTCAGCGTGGGTCATCTATAATATTGTATTTTCTTGAATTTTCGTCCGTTTTAGTACCCAATACTTACATGCATTTAGGTTGTCATGTACGGGACTATTCCTACCTCTCGTTCCCACCACTGCAACTCCTGTGCAGCCAGGATCTACAGCTTGACCGGCATAAAAACCCTACCAATGAAGGTCAAGTTTGTCCCTGGGGAAAGTTAAACTGTCATTGGACCCGCAACAAAATTAATTGAATTTATTTAATTAAAATAAGGCTGTCATGTAGTTACCACACAAATCACAATAGTTTACGCCTATTAAATTGGTCCAATTATGATGAACACGAGATCATCTGTCAGGTGTCAATTAGGCACTTGAACAGGCCAACTCAATTACTCCAGCCAGAATGTATTAGTTCGGTGTGGTCTGATTCGGTAACTCAAAGAAAATGCATCGGTTGGATTTTGTTTGTTTGTTTGTTTTGTTGAAATGAATGGGATAGAACGTGGGTTTACCTAATTGAGAAAAATCGTCTTAACGAATACTGTAAACAGCCTATTAGTCCCTAAACCAAGTACTAAATTCTCTAACAATAAAACACTTGCAAAGGACTCACTGAAAATGGTTCTATTCGTACTAACTAATCCAGAATTCTAGAATTAGATTTGGTATAACAGTAATCAGTAACAGTAGACTGCTGTAAATGTTTTACGATACCAAAAACGAACACGGTCAGGCACCTTTTGTGGACGCAAAATTGTCTGATGGACCCAGATGGACCTAATTTTTCCTAAAGCTCTCACTGTGTTTGTAACAGTTGCTGTATTCCAATATTTAAATATTTTAAACTTTGCACAAACCGAACTTAATACCTTAATTATCTGCCAGTTAACTTGTAGAGTTTCTTTAAGCATGTTCTTATTTAATTTGCCTTATTTTCTTGCAAGAAGACCCTGCAAAGTAAATAAAAAACCAGATAATTTTTTGCCTACATTTGAAAAACTTTTTAAAAAGATTATTTTCAAAGTTTCAAAAGAAGCATTTTAAATTAAAAACCTAAACAAAATAATTAAGATTTGTGCTAGTCGCACTTACATGTGCAATTTTTTTGAATTTTTTTGAACTAGCGAAAGAAGTCTAATGATGGCAGTCATACCTTCAATGCTAGTGTGACTGCGTGTAGTAATTAACTTAACCAGTGTTTTAATTGGATCCACCAGCTTGAGCATGACATTGAATAGTAAGTTTGGTTCGATCGGCTTAACAATTGGTGACGTCATGTAAAGGTAATGTTCACCTGTCGAATTTATTTAGACCACACAACGATGAGTAAGAATCTAATTACCCGTCACAGTAAAAATACTGTGTCAGAATTAGACTATTTTTTTATTTTATTACATAAGAGTAAGTAATGACAGTAATGACCAATGAAAAATAAGTCCGATTGGCTGATGAATCGATTGTATGTAATAGGAAGCTTTGAAAGTTTTTTTTTAGATATTATCTACATAAAATCTAGATTAAAACCGATACCTCAATCGTGTGACTGATTTGGTGCATGTCGATAAGATGTCGTTATGCAATTTATTTTCGATCGATTGTATCGATAATATTATCAAGATTCTTTGCTCACTTAACGTTACGCCTCTATTGGTTTTAAAAGTAAAACTAAGTTATTTGAATTGGTATTTATTTACGAAACTGCCATTATTGGACACATCGATCGCTCACAAACGTAACAAAATAATAAAACATAGAGCGTGGTTACTCATTAGGGTACATGAAGCAGTCATTTTTTTTTAATAGCACCTGTTCCAGTTGCATAAAATGCCCCAATGTGTAGCTGGATGTGCTGCAGTGGACTGTTCAAGTGGTAATTTAGTTGTGTAGCTACGAACTTCATTCACACACGCTCGCACGATACCTAGTCAAAGTTCAGTTCTGGCATACATTAACGAAAGTAAAACAGTTCATTTGCGTTCTATTGAACTCGAGAATATTGTGTTATAAGGCCATTGTTCACTGCAAAAACATTCTAATTAAAAAGAAAATTATGAAAAAATGCTCTGGTTGATAAGGCTACTTGCCTAGTAAAAACTTTAAGGTCTCTTATAAAAATGCTCAAACTCGATTCGATCGCAGTCAAAAATTCTGTCCTGTGTTTGGTTTAGTCTGAATATCGAAATGCGACCGATCGAATCCTTTAAGGCTTTTTAAAAAACGATGTTTTAGAAGGACCGCACATGGAATATTTTGTGACAACTGCATTGCAATATGAATGTTGGAATTTTGATAAATACTTTAATCTGTGTCAAATATTGAATTGAGTTTTCCTTCCTTCTTTCTGTAATACGGCTCTAAATCTTGACTCTATGTCCAGGGGTTGAATTCTCCCTACTCTTATTATTAATATTCGCTCCTTTATTAAACCATATTTTTATTTGCACAGGAGCACAGCTCAAACGCACGGCGTCGCAGGAGGCGGAGAAGCGGCGCTCGTCACTGGGCCACGTGCCCACCATCAGGCATCGGGCGTCGGACGCGTTCCTCGATCCCCACCATGCTGCCATGCTGTTCCGGGACTCCAGGGGGGTGAGTGTGTTGCTTCAACTCTTCTGGCAGGAGCACAGCTCGAGCGCACAGCGTCGCAGGAGTCGGAGAAGCGGCGCACGTCCCTGGGCCACGTGCCCACCATCAGGCATCGGGCGTCGGACGCGTTCCTCGATCCCCACCATGCTGCCATGCTGTTCCGGGACTCCAGGGGGGTGAGTGTGTTGCTTCAACTCTTCTGGCAGGAGCACAGCTCGAGCGCACAGCGTCGCAGGAGGCGGAGAAGCGGCGCTCGTCACTGGGCCACGTGCCCACCATCAGGCATCGGGCGTCGGACGCGTTCCTCGATCCCCACCATGCTGCCATGCTGTTCCGTGACTCCAGGGGGGTGAGTGTGTTGCTTCAACTCTTCTGGCAGGAGCACAGCTCGAGCGCACAGCGTCGCAGGAGGCGGAGAAGCGGCGCACGTCCCTGGGCCACGTGCCCACCATCAGGCATCGGGCGTCGGACGCGTTCCTCGATCCCCACCATGCTGCCATGCTGTTCCGGGACTCCAGGGGGGTGAGTGTGTTGCTTCAACTCTTCTGGCAGGAGCACAGCTCGAGCGCACAGCGTCGCAGGAGTCGGAGAAGCGGCGCACGTCCCTGGGCCACGTGCCCACCATCAGGCATCGGGCGTCGGACGCGTTCCTCGATCCCCACCATGCTGCCATGCTGTTCCGGGACTCCAGGGGGGTGAGTGTGTTGCTTCAACTCTTCTGGCAGGAGCACAGCTCGAGCGCACAGCGTCGCAGGAGGCGGAGAAGCGGCGCACGTCACTGGGCCACGTGCCCACCATCAGGCATCGGGCGTCGGACGCGTTCCTCGATCCCCACCATGCTGCCATGCTGTTCCGCGACTCCAGGGGGGTGAGTGTGTTGCTTCAACTCTTCTGGCAGGAGCACAGCTCGAGCGCACAGCGTCGCAGGAGTCGGAGAAGCGGCGCACGTCCCTGGGCCACGTGCCCACCATCAGGCATCGGGCGTTGGACGCGTTCCTCGATCCCCACCATGCTGCCATGCTGTTCTGGGACTCCAGGGGGGTGAGTGTGTTGCTTCAACTCTTCTGGCAGGAACACAGTTCGAGCGCACAGCGTCGCAAGGTAAAAAATCCAATATGTAAAGCAAACCGTATGCGAGTGGCAGAATGCCACTTATCACTCCGGAATAAATGTTATTCCGACACAAACGCTACATATTCAGCTCCATCATCAACAGCCCTTTACAGTCCACTGCTGGACTATGAGCCTCCTCCACTATAGTGGAGGGTTTTGCCATAATCTCCACGCTTGGCAGGCGGGTTGGAGATCGCAGTTTAAAAGATTGATGTTTTTCAGAGAGCGCTGCTGCCCATTCTCTGTTTGATGTGTAGTCCCTAAGTCGCCTCTTACGACACCCGCGGGAAGAGTAGGGGTTGGTGACAAATGTATTCTACTCTGCCGTCACCACACGGCTTGTTAAGGCGACCGCTGCCGCGGAATTCTTAATAGCGATACTAAATGTCGACGAAAGTGGCGACCCAATTGTTGTCTGTATCCATCTCAAAAGTTAGTATATCATTTGGCAGGACCGCTGATAAACTGAACGGATGAAGACTACAAGGAACTTACTTCGTTAAGCCTTTTCCTTCAGTGATTAAATCTTTTCATCTCAGGACTGGATCCTTAGAATCCAAGCTTTTGACTGGTTTAATATTGCAGGCTGCACATTTTTCCCATTAATATATTGTTGGCTTGATAGTTAGTTAGTATGGTTTCGCACGGGATACAATCATCCTGTATCAATAGCAACCTCACCTGTCCGGAAAGCGTGCCGACCAATATTTGACGTAGATACGTTCTATTTGTTACATCAAAGTAAAATGCCCTGTTTACTATCATTTATTCGCTTTGTGAACGAGCTTAGACCAAGCTTAGGAGAACGTGTACGATCTCAAAGGTAGAGGATTTCAAAACCCATGCAAGGATTATTTATTTACGATATACACGTAGAAGTTTTGTATTTAATTTATTCCCGTGCAATGCCTTTTATTTATTTACACAGATCCCGGCCAGGATTCTTCGTAAATAAACGAATTATTTCTTTACCACAAACGGTGAGCAGAAACCAAAGCTAAGGTAAACAGTCCACGCCAGCGATTTGTAAATAAAGTACCTGTGATAGATATAAATGAATTGAAACGGGCTAATCTGTCCGGTTAAACTCATTAATATTTCACGTTGAATCGTCATTAGGGAAAAGTAAATCATAAATATTATTATACCTGCGTGAAAGAAACTTATTACAGTTAAAATTTAGTACTATCGTGTAAAATTATCCAAGCACGTGTTGTTTCGAAGTAAAATAAAGACAGATTGCTTACCTACGTAATTTATTTTTTAGAAACAAAACAGCTAAATTAACTTTTTGTTGACCTTTTATTAACTACCAAACCTTCGGTCGGTCGTTGCTCACTCAATTATTCTGCTATGTCATTTACAGTAAGTACTGAAATTTTAAATGCAGTGTTTTATCACTAAGGTTCAGTTTCTTGATCCGTAGTTAAAAATAACCAACTGAACAATTAAAATTCTAAATCACGTAGGAGAGAGCAACGCGTAAACCGATAGCGCCGCGCTCTCCCTGGAATTAAAAATGCCCAAATTAAAAAAAAAAAAACTGTGTTATCCCAAATTTAATATTACAAGTGGTTAAATGACAAGAAATGCGTTTTTTGAACGATTGTTAGCTTAACTTTTAGTAAAATATTTAATTAACCATTAGTTTTACATTTTGTTAATATTTGACCATTACATTGGTAACAAAATTTGAGCAATTGGTTATTTTAACCACTGATCAAAAAACTGCTTCTTATCATTTATCCACGCGAGTGGTTTTTCTTTATAACAAAAATGTATAGCGCATTATTGTTTACCGTTCAGAACAAAAGTGGCCTGTGTGTGACACTCTGGAAATGTGTATTTTCTTACCAGAGGAATCTTTTATTGAGACTAACTACGAGTAGTTACAAGATAATTCCTTACAAATATGTCCACAAAGAATCTTGTTACGTTGTATAATTACTTAGCGAATGTATTGAGTTACAGGTTTTGATTTTACCGTTATTTGGGTAGAAACAGGAAAAATCATTAATATAAATTCGCGTGCGCCTAAACAAACCTATCAATTTTATTGCCGATCTAAGGTCATCTTTGTTCTTTGTACTACACTCGTGTATAAATAGGCACTGTCGGATTTTTGATAACAGCACATTCATAAATTTATTGATGATAAAAATATTTTAAAATATACCTTGCTGTTGCTAACTCGATCGCCTTAATTGAGCAAACTTATATCATCAATGGATCTAAAATTAGCATTAAGGGATCAAAAGAAGGACTCGACGACGCGCGCGCAGTCTGCCGTGAAACGAACGAGTTATTTTGGTTCGATTTTCGCGTAGACAACTTTGCCAGAAACGGCGTGTAACACGAATTGGGCGTTAATCATCTTGGCAGAATAATTAACTTAAACCCAATTAAGTAGTTTGTAATTACCAGTATCTATAATATTCAATGTGCTAACCTTATCTGTGTGGTGCCAGAATGGCTAAGCAAATTACCATGTGTAAGGGAACGATTAGTTCTATATTACAGGGGCGTATAAGCCTAAATCTGTGAAAATAAATCGCTGACCGTAATCTTTCAAAATTGCTGTCCCTCACTCCGAAAAAACTTGAAATGGAAATATTAACCTTAAAAAAGTTTAAAGAGAGAAAGTTATTTCACAAAAAACGTAATATTTTTTGTAATACATCATGTTTTATTAATTAACAGATACTCTGGTTTATTTTTGCTCGTACGCCGAAAATTATTTTAAGTGAAAACGGAAATCAGACAGATGTTGTTGGTATCTATCTAAATCTAAATATATAAAAGGAGATATATGTATAAAAGGAGAAACTGACTGACTGACTGACAGATCAACGCACAGCCTAAAAGGCTATACGTAGGCACTTGAAATTTGGAATGGACGTAGTTTAGGTACCGTAGAGGTGCACTAAGAAAGGAATTCCCGAAATTCCCACGGGAACGGGAATTAGCGGAAAAATCCTTTTGTATGAACAATCTAAACCGCTTAAGTTAGATGCTTGAAATTTGGTGTGCAGGTACCTACCTTAGTAAATTTAAAGCTTAGGTACAACAGGATATCGTAAAATTCCCACGGCAACGGGAGTTAGCGGGAAAAAACATATGTATGAAAAAATCTAAACTGTGTAAGATTGACGCTTGAAATTTGGCATGCAGGTACCCTAATAAACTTAAAGCTTAGTTACAACAGGATATTGCAAAATTCCTACGGGAACGGGAGTTAACCGCTGAAGATAGATGAAGGGGGTAAAACGGGATCCACGCGTACGAAGTCGCGGGCGGCCGCTAGCTATCATCTATCTATCTATATAAATAAAAATGAATTGATGTTCGTTACTCTGATTATAACTCGAGAACGACTGGGCCGATTGAGCTGATTTTGGTTTTAAAATGTTTGTCGTAGTCCAGGTCTAAACGTAAAGAGTAAATACGCGCGCAATATTGTTTTTCTGTGACAGACAAAATTCCACGCGGGCGAAGCCGCGGGCGGAAAGCTAGTAAATTGATAAATTGCATTCGGGCATAAGCCGATTGAATTGTACCTACCTGTATGAATAAGGGTCAATCAAATATTGTAATATTTGCCACTGAAAAGGGTTTTAATGTTTAAATTTTTTAGGCTTAAATGTTTACGTGCATCTTATATCATCATTGTAAGGTTCATCTTTTCTTTGTGATGAGATGTTTTTAAATTAATGAATATTTTGACACTGGCTATAAGAAATGGTTATTTTTTGTCGATATCCTAATGTCATTTGTTTGTTGCAGTTACCGGTTGCGGACCCGTTCCTGGAAAAAGTCAGCCTCTCCGATTTGGGTAAGTGAGAAAACGTTTATTTCTTGAACTAGTTGAAGTGTGGAATAGTTTGGTAGATTTTCTAACAAATGAAGTGTTCCATAATCGATAATTGAATCTACTCTATTACCAACTTATAATCGACTCCACTTGATCCTAAGTTTAGTCAAGTGTACGCCGATAAGTATTCACTTCGTTTGGTCTGATTATGAAATAGAAATCTGTATTTCGTATTTCGCACGCACAATTTATTATTGAAATCCATTCGTTTGACAAATTTTCTATTACCATTTTACTCATTTTGAACAGAAAAAGTAAAAAAGACTTTTTTTGAATTGCGCGTCGTCATTTACTTGAAAAAAGAAGTACTTACTAACATAAAAATATTCATTGATAGTGGTTCGATATAATGCTTGTTTAGCTACCTACTACCACAGATAATATAATACTAGCTACTACCGTATTGATCTGTGAGCTCACAAGTCGTAATTTTCAAAGTAAATTGTAAACATGCACCTATGGCGTGTCAGTAAACATTTTTGTTTACAAAATTCTGAATGTTTATCTTGGCTATAGTATAAACTGATCATTTTGATCGCATAAAGTTTATGGGTTCCATGATTGTGATAATGCCCATTTTTACCGCCGGCCGTAAGATAAGTCATGGCCCAGTCGCCAGTCGCCCGGGCGCTCCTTTGTGTGACGGATATAAACACTTATTATGATCAAACATCACGATTTACGTGTTCTGTGACGAAACAAACATGCGCTTTATAAGGTACAGAAAGGCATTTTCTATAGAAAACGGTAAGAAAGCTTTTCTTTTGTAGGTATAATAGTGTAATAGATTAAAACGTGATCTCAACGTCGCTCGGTTGTTTTTCGCACAATACAGTGTTTCGCTCTTAATTAAGGACGTGTTGAAGCTGTGGACGGAACACCAATGGGCCTAATTTTGGGAGATTCACTATCTCTAGAAAAGGTATATTTCTTTTTCTCTTAATGGAAAAAGGTAGATTACTTCAGTCAAATTAAAACGATTTATAGATAGATCTTTTAATGAAGAATTTTCGTCTAACCCAGCATTTTAAATCTAACAAGTCCGAACCTGAACCCATTTTAATTATGCATTCAAAATTAGTGGCTTTGTCCAATCTAAATTCTTAATTGGAAAAATAGACGGATTGAGTTTTATTGGAAAGATATTAAACAATCCTGATGCTGGATTAAATGAGTAAAAAAGATCTTTAATTTGTATCGGATTTGAAGATGATCCTTCGGCTTGGCTTACAAGATGTCGTCTGCTTTAATCCTTTAACGAAACACCAGCACAGTTTGTTAGAGTACTTAAGTTTTTAATTATATTAGTTGCATCTCAGGTATGCAGGTTGAACTCGAAACGAAAATTCTATAGAAAACAAGATAATATTAAAGTGAATTCCGTGTTGGAACCAAAGTCACACAATGAACTCGTGCTGACGTAGACTGCCGTACATAAAATATTTAATTTAAACTATTAAGTACTCCGGGAAAACGGAAGGATTTTGCAGCAGTCTAAACTTCTTACTTTATGAATGCGGAAACAAATGCTGACAGAAAATTATATTATACTGTCTAAATGCTTTGTAATTTAATTAGATTTTTGTGATCAAATGAAACGGTTTTTGATACAATGCCAGTCAAATATTTCCAGTATTTAGGACAGCTTGTCATAGGAAGGCAGTCCATTAGTACAGAACGTTTTTCCTCTTCGCTCAGTCGGAGTGCGTTGGGACGGTCTAACTGCTGTCATTAAATGCCCGCGCCGGAATTGTTTACTAGCTGCACTTTTATAAAGAAATAACAACTCTCTATTCTTAGGTACTGTTTTTATTAGGCATATTCATGGAATACCACAAACGTTATTCGACGTTTAAAGCCTATAAGCCGTAATAGCATAGCGACGGAATATTTCAATGGTTTGAAATATTTATCCGTCCAAAGAATTTATTTTCTGTTTTTAGATGCATACCTATTTCATCTACCGATCGCCATTAAAAACATGATAGCTTAACTTTTATTTCAATAAAAGTTAAATAATTACGTTAACGTCAAATATCTCGCTTTTCAATTATTATTGGCGAGGAATTAGAAATGTTATGTCTAACTGCGATTTAGCTCCAGCTTAAGGCCTAAGCTACCATTATACAGCAATTACAAGTTATGTTCGGCGGAGATCTGCAACTTGGTCGTTCTAACAACCACGCCAGAAAGTTGGATGTACCTAGCACGGGGAAATTAAACCCACTTAGACACCCCGCAGAATACAGAATTATGGTCGGCCTATATTTTGGTCGGGTTGTTAATTGTATGAACGAACACGTCTAAAAGTGTTATGTGCGTAACTGCGTACATTATGCCGATTTGGTATCGGCCGGTTCCTCTTTCTTAGCCTAGGCGCAGACCACCGACTTAGTTGGCTGATAGTTGGATCGGGCTGTTAATCGATTGGAAATGTATGAAAGTGCGCACATTACACCGATTTGGTATCGGCCGATTCTTCATGCAAATAAAAATCGGGCCAAACTCGATCGGCCAACTAAAAGTCGGTGGTCTGCGCCCTGGCTGTAAAAGCCTGTCTAAATTGGAAGCCGACCAAACAATCGGCCGACTAAAAGTCTTTAGTCTGCGGGGAGTCTTAGTGGAACCTTAATATAACCTGAAGTAGTTATGAGGGTGTGCCTGTCGGTTACACTCGCTCGTTATCCTGGTTTGAATCTTGGGTGTTGCTCTGTGTTATATGCATCTTGAAGTTTGACTGAAGTTAGGTTTGGTTGGAGCATATTTTATGGTCATGTATATTATCAGATAAGTTTAGAGTTTTATTGAAGTTCCTTAGAATATTTCGACTAAAAATCTAAAGCTAACAAGTGCTTCAGAGATATTCTGCGATTTTAGAGAAGAAAACAGCGAAAAATGACTCCTGCATTTTGACGGTATGCCATTAAAACTAACCGTCGTACTTAGGATTGTAGAAATAGTCTTATGTAGTCGATTTCTGAAACAGTGTTTATATTGAATTTAAACAAACGTTTTTTTAGATCAGTTTAATAGGATTTTGACGTAGGTACTACGTTGCAAAGTTTTGATGCGATTAACTGATTGTGTGAAGTAAGACCTACATATTGTCTTAGTGCATTTGTGATCAATAGTTATTAAAATTTAGAGTTGCTACTTAAACTAAATTATACATAACTTGAAAAAAATCTTTGAACGAACGTTTGTGTATCAATATCGAACATCTCCGAGAGAGCAGTCGTACGTGCGAGCCAGTGCATCGCACACACAGCACTCATTTTCTTATTGAACTAATTTGTCAAACCCGAGGAACCTTTGTGCGGTTTATTAGAACACAATCACAGGACATTGCATTATACTCGTACCAAAGCGGTGCAGTGAGTAGTGATGCAAGGTGATTTCAATGTCGATTTATCGACATTACAGTCATAGTACCGTAAAACGATTATGATAAATATAAGACTTACTTTTTAATAACTTTTTATTGTACTTCTAGTAATGATATTATGTATTTTATTTAGTTAATAATGACAATTTCGGAGTTAAAATGTATTTTGGCATTTCACTGATTTGAAACCAACAATGTCAATATAGCATTTGCAGTCGTTTTACTATATTCATGACTAATATTTGTTAATCTTGCTATCAGGTACACTTTTCCTTATTGGATAAAGCAGTAGATTAAAATTAAACTGCACGTATTAATTTATGGTCGTGTTATGTGTAAGCCGGTGCATCTGATATTCCACTCGTATAATTTTCTCATTGAATTTATTGGTAGGTATAGCGAGTACAAGGAAACTGTGCTTTATTAGATCACAATAACTCAATTTATTCAACCTGAGTGTAGGGATGGAAGGTGATTTTAATGTCGATAAAAATATTGACACATAAGTACTGAATATTATCCAACATTTTCATATAAGAAATATATTTTCTAAATCTAATAGACAGTCAGCACAGTTTGAGAAAAATCGTGGCGGTTAAAATTGTACATAATATGTTGCTGAGGTAAAACGTACTGAAATATGATTGCTACTACCACCACGTCATAAAAATACATGTTAAATGTTTGAAAATGTTTTCAACTGTTTTGTAGATTTATCGAAATAAGTAGTTATAGATTGAGCAACAAATGTCCTTGCAGCCCTAACCGACTTTTTATGCCCACATTAGAATTGCAAAGAGTGCTGAAAGACACGTAAACAAGTTATACCTACTTTTATACAATATCCCATTGAATCTTTTAAGCTTATGCTTAACTTAGGTATACAAATAAATAGTATATAAAACCTCTTCAAGGTTTTATCTAACCGTGAGTTAAAAGTTATTTCGTTTACGAATGCATAAGTACTAGTAAAATATCTGTTGTTGAGATCTTCGGTAGCGGTTGGTCGTTGGTTTTCGAATGGAGGATTAAATCCCGGGATCCCGGTCGTTTCCAATCCTGAAAACATCCAGATTAAATTTTACGAATATCTGCATCCATGAAATACGAAAAAAAAGTATTCGGTTTATTTTATTGTAACTTTGGAGTGGAATATTCTTCTGACTTTTTACCAGGCTTATAGCAATAGTTACAGTACAGTTATTTAAAGTTACAGTACAGTTATTTAAAATTAGTTATATGATATTGACATGTTAATTTTAAGTCCTAATCTATAGATTAGATTTTGTTTTGATCCTATGGAGCTAATATTAGATACTTACTATAAGTGCTTGCAGAACTTGTTAGTTTGTATGATAAATTTACGAGTAAATTGAATTTATAATCGCGTGTGCAGGTAAATAAACAAGGAAGTGGTTCGTTTGATATTTAATATGGTTTGTTCATATTTAGTATACATACAGAGTGTGCAATAAAACGATATAGTCCTTCGAAATATGTATGCAGTGAAGATTTAACTTTAACGCGGATTTTAATAAAGTAAAAAAGCAGACAAGCTGATTCGTATGTGAAGCTG